TAGGGAATGGATCTATTTGAACTCTTACTTCTGTGTCAATATTGGTTGGAATCGGCCAACCAGCTCAGAAGTTATTGCAGATGGGCTGATGGGCAACCCGTGTGCCAGTGCAAGTCCCCTTTCCTTAGGAAATCTCACAAAAATCAAAATCCCTCTAAGCTCCTACCTGTGAAGATTTGGAAGAAGAGCTCTAAAATATGACAAAATGCATCCTATGGGCTTATGTACCAGAGAGCAGATTTAGAGAGGTTCATGTTTGAGATAAAAATACATCTTATCTCAAATTTTTGAGATAAAAATAAATCCACAATCTAGGCAGACTCATTGATGTGTTGGTGTTTGGCAATAGTATAATTATGAGCTTTTTTTTTTTCTTTCTATGCAGCGATTTGGCTCCTACTGTTATTTTTCACTTGTGCTTTTTGATTTTTAGCACTTTGCAAGTGAAAGCCTGGTGCTGAGCGACGCAAAGGAGACAACTCTCATCTTTTCTCCAAAGTTTATAAAGAAGGGTATTTATGAGCATTAGTACCTGGGCTGTGAAAAAAACCTGTTGTGCCTAAAAAAGGTGCAGGGCACTGAAATGACACCTTCAGCTGCCTGCTCCTCCCTCCAACCCCTCCACCTCCACCCCTGGGTCTCAGCTTAACTTTAACCACTGTATGGGGATTTCTGGGAAACATCCGAACTCTTATCACACATGATTTTCGGTGCCTGATGTGCAAAACTGCGGCTCTCAAAGGAGCCCAAAGCAGAGGCTGCTATTAAAAATGTTTCTGTGGTGAAGGGCGCTGGGTCAGCTGGTGAGACACACACACCCCCCCACCCCCCGCCATTTTCACACCACAGTATCAGAGAGGACCGAGGCCGCGCCTCCCTCAGCAGGGGCAGGAAGCCGAGGCGTAACATCTCCCAGCCCACAAAAACGCGAAAATTCACTTAACAGCCTACCAAACGCCAATCTTTCCCATAACCTTTGAAAAGCGCAACTTCCTTCCCTCCTCCTCCTCCTCCTCCCAGCTGTAAGTTGTTGTGTTTTGTTTGGGTTTTCTTTTTTTTCCTCTCTCCCTATGACCTTTCGCTGGTACTTTTGGCTGTGGGTGGGGTACGCGCCTTTATGCTTTGTCTCTCGGCCGGCTCCCTGCGGGCGCGGAGGGCGGGACGGCGGCGGCAGCTCCCCCCAGCCCCGGAAAAGCCTTTCCCGCCCTTTTCCTGAGGCGGGCGGTGGGGCTTCCCCCC